GAAGGAAGGAAGGAAGGAAGGAAGGAAGGAAGGAAGGAAGGAAGGAATCCAGCTTTAGCTTAGTCTCTTTCAGAATTGCCTGCACAGAAGTATTGTCAATCCTTCTCCTTCTGCTATTTTATTTATTATTTTTGGGGTGCAAATGGGCTTTAATTGTAAATTGCTTCTGAAGTGTCAGTGGAATTTATTGCCTCTGCCACCTCAGGTGTGAAATGTTGGCTGTTATGCTTTTTAATAAGCTCAGCCTCCTATATCTTACTTTCCTTGGTGATGGGAGCAGAATGCTTTGCTGGTCTCTCCTCATTCTTTCACTGGAGGGGTGGGCATTTGCACCAGGAAACTGAGGTTGGTTAACCCTTTCATTTCTGGAGGTGTTGCATATAAGCACAAGGCCTGGGGAAAGGGAGAATGGCTGGGAGGGAGGGCTGAGTGTGATGAGTTGGCCATGTCCACCCAATCATCTGACCACCCGGCCACCCCTACCCAGCCAGTTATTAGGGCAGAGAAATGGTTGTTAAATTATTTGAATCCCACCACTAGTGTCACCTTACTGATGTTCTCCTGGATACTCTGGGTTTCATACAGGACAGTAACTTTGACACCCATCAAATTCCACCTGTTCTCTTTCCAGATGATGTACAGTCTCTTTCTGCAGTGTCAGTATTGTAGCCAATGAGGTTTATTTGAGGTGTTGTTATTGCTAATTGCAAATTTTTTAATATATATAAATTTCAATATATACATTTAAAAATTTTCTGAAACATTCAGAGTTGAATGTTTGATTGACTTTCTTTGGCAGGCAATATCTGCTTATTTTATTACTACCGTGTTTCTCATATAATAAGGCCGGGTCTTTTTTTTTTTTGAGCCCCGAAAAAATGGCTAGGCCGTCTTTTCGGGGGTGACTTAATTCCCTCCCCCCCCTTGCATCTTCGGGCGGGCGGCGACGGCTTGGATGTTGACCTCGGCGTTGGTGGGGCACTTCGTATTGGGGTCAACACAGGCAGCACCATATCCGGGTGTGCAACAAAAGTACTTCCTAACGGCAAGCCCCGCCACCATTCCCCCCCATTTCGCATGTTTTAATATAGGCCTTAATTTGGGGGGAGGGGCTTAATTTCATTTCATGCCTATAAAACATACTGGGACTTCCTATTGGGGGAGGCCATATTGTTGGAGAAACAGGGTAGTAATAAAACTGTGTACTAAGTGGGAGAGCATTACAATTATTTTGGTAAATGTGTTTTAAATCAATTCATTTAAATCAAGGCTAATGTGGTTTTATTTTTTAAATTTACTAGCGTAGATCTTATCTATTTGTATAAACAGTCTAATTTGTTCTGAAGAAGAGCAGCAATATGATTAAAGTCAGAAAGAGTTATGCACAAAAGATTCTGTTGTTTGATACTATTACCTATCAGATCTGTCTCCAAGAGTTTATGAATCTCTACAAATTTCTAATTACTGGAATTTTTATTTTTTATTCCATATACATTCATGTTATAATTAATAATTTGTAGGAATTGTATTGCACTGCAAACGTGAGCTTAATAAATTATTGGAAATCCCATTTTTATGCACCTTGACATTAATATACAGCTAGTGAATATGGATGTATTCAAGTTCGCACAGTGGAAATATTGATCATAATCCACTGTTGAATTAAATTGGATTCGTGTAGGGTATACATTGCTCTTATTTGAATATTAATGAAAGATGCAACCATATTTTCTCCTACAACAGTGCATTAAATGCATGTATATGTTCTTTGTATGATTCTGTTGGCCACTTAGCAAGTAATCAATATAATCTATCTCATAACTATGCTATTTGCTTTTGCACTTTATTCTAGATTATATTCCTGTAAACTAACTACAGTAACTGATAGCCTTTTAAAATATAATGTGGTCCAAACCTATGGAAAATAATTAGGACTCAGCAAGATACTATTTCTTGATATCATCATTCCCAGTATTAAAAAAGAACACCCTACTAACAGCTATCTCTTTAGCATTGGACAGTGCTATCCTGCTCTGAATTAGATAGATAGACAGAGAAGACATATGGTTGATTAATTTTCTTATTTGAGGAGTGGTCAGTTGACATCTTATTGACATCTTATTATTCAGAAAAAGGAGATCATTAGATCAAACTAACATTTGCATTTATCATCTGGGTAATAGCTTAAAACAAATTACTATACTATACAGGTATTTTAGATGTACAAATAGATATGGATGAAACATTATTTAGTTACAGAAAAGAAAACAACTTGGCTAACATATCAGTCCCTTTTACCAAAAGGACCTACATACTTCATGCAATTTGTTTGCAATGTGGACAATAGTTTGACTACAACTATTAAGTCAATAGTTTGACTTAAAATGAAAGAGAATCTTTTAAAATGTAGAAGTGATGTAGAAATGAAGCAGTGATAATTAAACATATATGTTTAAATAGAGAGAACATATTTTGAGAAATTAAACACTATTAAGAACATTATTAGGACTGTACAATGTGTTGAATTTAATTCTACAAAGTACTTAAGACCACATGGGTACGAGTATAGCATTTATCCTGAACCCTTTAAAATAGCTGTATTTTTTCCTTGGATTTTATGGCAGTTTTGTACTGTAGCCATAAGATCCTGGGAGAAGACATGATTGTTTTAAAGATTTGCAGGTAGGTATAGGCATTAAAACAGGACTGATAACCATGGCATCTTATCTACTGAAAATCATTCCAGATTAAATATCTGTGTTTGTTTCTTGATACCATTTCTTATCATTTGTTGTCTAATTAAATATAATACATCCAATCTCCACAATTAGTCTATCTTCCCAACAAAGTCCAAATAAAAAAGGTTTGCAATTCAGACTAATAAATCCATTCCCCAATCTTCCCTTTAGAAAAATAATTTATCAGTTTTCTATGTCATGATACTGCTATTGTAAACAAAGGCAGACTTGAAGTTCAGAGAGATGTATGGACACAATTCAGTTAGTTTCTCCATCTTTTCTCAGATTTCAGCCACTGCTTGTCTGTTATCTCAAACATTATTTCTCTATGAAGCTTAACCAGAGAACAAAGAAGCTGAAGCAGAAGGAAATAAGAAAAATATTTTCTGGATATTTCGATCCAAAATTAAGAGAAAAATTAAAAAGTAACTCCGAGTACTTTGCAAATTAAAAAGATATAAAAACCCTTTGGTGAGAGTCCAGTATTAATGTAAATCAAATGAAAGCACTTCACCATCCATAAGCACACTGTGTTTCCATACAGAAAGCAAAATTTATTTAGAACAACAATCAAAGGGAAAAAGAAAAAAGAGAACGGTTAAAAGTCCAGCAGGGGGTTGAAGTAAATTGGCATTCAGCTGGCCAGTGTACTTTTATTTATTAAAGATATAAAGCAAAGTAAAAGTTCAAAAAGTGAAATTAAGATCAGGCTTTAAAAAAACCTGAAATGCTGTCAGGGAGATAGATGCCTGCAACATTCCAGTCGCTCCCAGAGGGAACTGGAACCTTCAAGACTGCCCTTGCCAAATGGGTCCAGGACTATCCAAAAGTTATGTTGGGTTCCTAAATTCTCCCATTCAAATCCAGGGAGCAGTACTGCCAGAGAGTCAGCTTTGGTAGCAAAATCACAAATCTTCGGCAAGAGATTTACCATTCTCCTTACTGTTCAGAAGCCATCTTGGGGAGGAGTCCAGTGGTGGGATTCAAATTTTTTTACTACCGGTTCTGTGGGTGTGGCTCGGTGGGCGTGGCAGGGGAAGGATACTGTAAAATCTCCAGTTAGAGGTGGTATTTGCCGGTTCTCCGAACCACTCAAAATTTCCGCTTACTGGTTCTCCAGAACTGGTCAGAACCTGCTGAATACCATTGGAGGAGTCTAAACATGTGAAAGGTAAATACTTTTTCTCACATGTTGAATTGTACATGGGAATGTATCTCTTTAATGCAGTTCTTGCAAATCTATGCAGAGTCTTTCATGTCATCTTTGCACTCAAAGAATTCACAGATGCTACATTAAATTTGCTTTATTAGGTGTTGTCCTTTTGTATACTTATTACATTTATTAATTCTGGATTGATTAGGTACTTAAATAAAGCTGAAATACAGGTAGTCTTCAACTTACAACAGTTCACTTAGTGACCTTTCAAGTTACAACGGCACTGAAAAAAGTGACATAACCATTTCTGATACTTATATATATGTTGCAGCAATCCACTGGTCACATGATTTACATTCAAATGCTTGACAACTGATTCACATTTATGACTGTTGCAATGTCCCGGGGTCATGTGATCACCTTCTGCAACCTTCTGACAAGCAAAGTCAATGCGGAAACCAGTTTCACTTAACAACCCTGTTCCTAATTTAACAACTGCAGTGATTCACTTAACAAATATGGCAAGAAAAGTAATAAAATGGGGAAAAACTCTCTTAACAAATTTCTCACTTAGCGAAATAAATGTTGGGCTCAATTGTGATCATAAGTTGAAGACTACCTGTATTAGGTATAGACTTAAAATCAATTATGTATTTTGCCATAATGCAACTTAAATATCAAATATTTTCACTCATTCTAAGTAGAATGAAAGAAGTGAAGTATTTCCCTAGCATAGAGATACAGTAAATAAATGGTTTGTTTTTAATTAGCATTTTCCTAATTTGTGTTTAAATATTTGGTGTTGGTATATATATTTGCCTGTTTTACAGCAGCTTTTAAAAGTGTTCTTTGTGTTTACATTAATTTCATTATTTTACATTATAAATATATTATAAATAATACAAATAATATATAATTTTATATAATATATATAATATAATAATATTATAAATAATATAAATTATAAATAATTTTAAGTACATTATAAATAATGTAAATTAATTGCATTAATTTCAGTGAATTTGGCTCCATTTTTCCCGGCACTGTCTTTCCTACAAAATGAACCTGACAGAAATACATATGTAAAAAATGTTTTATTTTTTTTGAAAATGGAAGATTTGCTTTATGATTCTTTCTTCTCAGAGTTAATATAATTTAAAAGCTGTCTACATTATTTTTAGTGTTTACTACTCTTTTTTGTTTTTATTTTTATAAACTATATATGGAGCAATAGGTTCTTTTACCGCTATATATTTGTTTCTAGAATTCAGTGATATTCATGTGTGTATTTTGAATTTGAAATAAATTTTACAATACTATCCTACATGAAATTAGCCATTTGAAATCATTAGAAAGCTCTAAATTGTAATGCTACAATGAACAGTTTATTGAAAAAAACTGAAATGATGTTGCTGGCAAATAGAGGAAGATCAAAATATCACCAATTGCTATAAAGGTTTAAATGTCCATTATGTTAGCTTTCTAGAAAGAATGATTTATTTGGCTGAATTTCACAATGTCCTGTACCTAAAATCTTTTTGGTTCAGAAACTGAATGCTTATTTCGACCACCTGTACTAGCGCATTCAATGGAAGAAGCAGCAGAACAATTATTGAATTCTTCATTTCAGAAAATGGAAAAATTACTATTTACTGTTTTAGTGAGATAAGAACTGAGTTTAGATGGGCTTTAATAGTTACAATTATATTTGAGTAACCTGTATTTTTTTTAATATAATGGTTTAATTTTTATAATGTTCACAAATTACCTTCTATTTGCCAGTATATAAAATTGCTTTGAATGTTTGATAAAATTGGAATTTTAGAATAAAGTTGTATAATCAAGATTATAAGGATATTAGTTTTGATAATAAATACTATATATTTAATCTACTGCATTTTCAGTTATATATTTAGCCATTTAAACTAGTATGACTTGATCTAAAGGATTCTATATAAATTGATTTATTAAACAAAATTATTTTTTAAATGATTTCAATTAAATAATTGCTTGAGATTCTTTTTTGTAAAAATAGTACTCTCATCTAAGTGCCTTTTACAATAAGTTCTTTAGTATCAAATATATTTTGCCCATGTATTTTAGATATCTGGAATTGTGCATTTGGCTATATTTCATATGCTTGTTCCACATTTAAAATATTTGAATTATTTTGTTCAAAGTTAAAATTTGCAGAAAATTATAAATATAATCTTATTATGCCAATACCTATTGTATTTTTTTTATTTACATGCAGCCAGAAGCTATGGGCGGAGACGAGGTAAATTTTTATTTTGAATGCTTCATCAGATATGGTCATGAGAACAACAAATTACAGAATAAATAGCTGTATATTTTTGTAAAAAACAAGAATTGCTTTTCTCATCCCATAACAACGATACTGGTCTTTGTCCTGCTCAGTAGCTTTGCAATTACATGAACATAATGAAATGAGAGTATTGAAAGAGAATTTCACTGCCATTAAAAGCTAAAACTGGTAGGAGTAGAAAGGATAATTGGCTTTATCTGCTTAAAGAAAAAATGCAATATTAATATATTCCAATATAAGCATGCAGTTTTTCTTGATTTTTAAAACCTGATAAAACATATGGGTAAGCTTTATGCTCTCTGTAAAATAAAAAAGGAAGTGTTTAAATAGACTATTCCAGGAATCTGCAATAAATGCTTACAAGAGATATTCTGACATATGCTTGGGCAAGCTTAAAGTCAAACAGCAGATGATTTTATTAACAATCTTCAACCTCACTAAAATATATGAAATAGATCAATGTGGTTTCAGAGGATGGAACATTGCCTATTTTCATTTACCATTTTTTTCTTGAAATCCTCTATTTGTTGTAGATGATAAAAATACAACCCATATTACAATGAAATAATAGATTTTGCTCAAAAGGCAAATGCTGCTGGCAAAATTCCTGATCCCTGTAATGACTGGAGTGGGAAAAATATATTTTTCCTTATTACAATTCCAATTTATATTACAATAGAAATTATATTGTAGTTTTACTAAAATATATTAAAATTAATTACAAATTAATTAATTACAAAATATATACAAATTATTTACCAAATACACGTGAATCCCCTTAACCTATCAAGGGATATTTTAAAAATCTTTAACTTGTTTTATTTTAAATTAAAACTCAGATCTAGAACATTTTAGGGGCTTATATTTGGATTTAAAGATATTTTGAGACTTTTAAATCAAGCTAATGTTTGCTTTTTGCAGACCTGAAACAGAGGCTGAATTAAATTTTAAAATTGCAAAGGAAAAATTTCTAGGAGAAGTGTAATTTCAGAATTATTCTTTAAAATATATTTTCTTCATATCCTGTACAGCCCAATGTATGCATTCTGCAACTACACAGGACAAAGTTTGTAATTTTAAAATTGGATAATAAATACTGTTGACCAAACTTCCATACCTCACATTATTACCAGTTTTACCTTTCTGCTCCATTGTTTTTTATGACTGCAGGCTGCAGCACCATTAAAGTTTACCTTTTTTTTAATCAGGTGAAAGCAAATAATTGTTTTTTTTTTCCCTTAATTTTTTCCTCACCCATCTCTCACTTAGCGATTCTTGGCATCAGTTGGTAATCCATCAGTATAATGCTTATTGTATATTAGTTCCACTATAGTATGAGATTGCCATGCTGTTTGTTTTCCTTGCTTGATGACATTGCTGCCCCTCTGTCAGAGAGTTCAGAGGCAAGTTCTGAACCGAAGCTGTTCTTTTTCTCATCTTCATGAGCTGGATGCTAAAGCCAAAGCTTTCCTGACTTTGCGAGCCTGGCATGTCTTCCTTCTGTTGCTCTTATTACCAGTCTCCTCCTATAAATTCTAGACCAGTAGTGTAAGCCATGCCATTGTCATCTGGCCAAGGTGAATATTGCCAGCATTCGGAGGTAATAAGAGGAAAGATAGGTAAGGTGGTGCTCTTAAACTCTTTTATTTTGTGTTTCATCTCCCAACAGAGCACGTTCCAGGATAGTTAGGATAATGGATTTTAGGAGTTGTATCCAAAGCATCAGGAGAGCACCAACACCAATTGGCTTATTTTTTCTGAATAGAACATAATGATAGTTGCGATAATTTTTTATTCTAGGCAAGTAACTGAATTTGACTCATCAAATAAACCAGTCAGAACTAACATCTTGGAACTTGTCAATACAGTGTTACGGATAGAGAAATATATACTGCTATGATTTTAAAATGAGTATTAATACTAATGATGATAATGATGACAGCCTGCTGGTAACGAGAAGTATTGATACAATGTTGATATTAGCAGAAATAAGTATAATGCATACAGATGATTAAAATAATTGTGAAGATGACAGTAGTATCTATTACCCATTCTATTTTTGGCTTTTACTATTTTTCTACACTGGCTCTACCCAATTTTTTTTAATGCTGCCAATATCAGTTGCAGCATTCAACTTGAAAAGAATTCTCTTTCTCTGTCAGGATGTTGATTTTGGAAAATGTCTTCAGAGCAATTGTTTACCATCATGAATGGGCTTCTATTTGTTTTTGCTCATTGCTGATGATAAAACTAAGAAAAGGAAAACAGCCTAGAACCAATGCCTTTGCAGATTTTCTTGGCACGGTTGCATTTAGAATATCCTCAATTAGAAATCATAGTTACTAATAGATGAAGATTAATGAGTTGATTGTGCTGGCAGCTCATTACTGCAGAATCTAAACATACCATATTTGCATCTAAACATATTTGATCCCTCTGCTAAAGTAGATAAAAAATTATTTGATGAATTAAAATTACTAATAAAGTTAACTGAGATATTTTTCTTATAGAATAGATAAGGCTACCTGATTGTTTGGGTTCTGGTTTTCTTTTGTCTATTTTTTGCTAGTCTCAGGGCAGAAAAAAGCCAGGCATGCATTGTCATGTATAAGTGAATTTAGATATGAGTTGTTTAGATCTAAATCTTCATTTTTTTCCTCCTATTGTTATGTGGAGAACTGTCCAATTTTTTGTTATTTTAATTTGTGATTATGAACCAAAATTATTTTATTATTTGGTTAATGTGACTTAATAAGAATTGTGAAGTTAAAGTAAACACAGTCTACAATGTTGCCAAAAGAAATTGAATATTAATTGATTCAGGAAACTGAGAAATATTCTATGCCAGAGGTCCTCAAACTTGTTGACTTCAACTCCCAGAATTCCTTCTCCAGGCATGTTAGCTCAGGAATTCTGGGAGTTGAAGTCCACAAGTCTTAAACTTGCCAAGTTTGAAGACCCTTGTTCTATGCAAAGAACTAATGACTTGTAAACCTACTAAAAGTATACTAATATTAAAAAAGAATATAACATCATTACAAAATGGTTAAGATTATCCATTTTAGATTCTATATCTCAAGCCTCCTAGGTCATTGGGTTGCAACTACCATAATTCTAACTATTGTACTGTGAGAGAGAAAAAAAATTTAAAATACCTGGAGACTGTCTGTTCTTTAACCAAGTGAAAATTAGCCATGATTATTTGGGAATATCCATCTGGATTTGGAATTCCCACAGGATCTTAGTCCTATTATTCTCCATGACTGTTTAAGGAATCTCCCATCTGGACTTGAGGGTCTTGTCCACACACAGTGCATAGGTTCCTGTACATACCGTAGTGCTTGTTACTTTATTGTACCATTCAGGCTATCCTGCCTGCACTTTCTACCTTGACACCTTGTGTTAGACTGTTTCTGAAGATTTTCAGCACAGTCTGTACTTTGGGTCCTACCTAGTGTGGTAGACCTCTGCTTCTATGGAACTGGTGCATAGTCCTGGTCTTGTGCTGCTATGATCAGTGCCTCAGTACTGTCTTAGTTCAGCCTTTTCCAGCTACTGATAAGATTTCTTAGTGCCAGCCATCTCTTGATGGTCCATCTTGAGTCTTGGGTGACTGTTCTGTCTATGAGCAATTGGAGTTTTGAGTCTCAGGTATTGTTCACAATGCCTTACTGAGATGTGCTCAAGTACTGGTTCATATGGTCCTGTGGCTTGACAGCTGTGATGCCTGATAGAATTTTCCTCTTCACTATGTTTAAGTGTTGGGTAACTTAGCTGTTTTTCAATTAGCTTGAATATAGGTCTTCTGTCCCTCTCATACATTTCATATATCCCCTCTCATTAGGTCTACTATTGTTGTAGCATTTCATCAGTTACAGCTTCTATTGTTTGGTTTGTTCCAGAAGCCCTTTTACATTCAGATTGTCCTTGTTCCCCAATATTTGGAACAAACCTTGTTACTCTGGGCAACTTCTGAGCTGGCATGACTCTTAGTCAGGGGTGGGATTCAAATTTTTTAACGGGTTCTGTGGGTGTGGCTTGGTGGGCGTGGCTTGGTGGTCATGTGGGCATGGCCAACTCAATATCACTCACATCGAGGCACGCATCTCCTCGCCTGGCCTCTCATGACTGTGGGGATGCTGCAACAGTCGTAAGTGTGAAAAATGGTCATAAGTCACTTTTTTCAGTGCCATTGTAACTTTGAATGGTCACTCCACACAAGCAAAGTACCAGCAAAGGAGGGGAAAAAAACTCCAGAGACATTCCTGAGACAGGAAGTCTAGTCCTGCCAAGAATGTAATAAGGGTTAATGGAGAGGCAGTTTCTGTAAGCAACACCAGAATGTTTCCTTCCTGCCTTCCTTACAGGATTAGGCCAGTAATTTCTTCTAACAACCGGTTCTCCGAACTGCTTAGAATGTTAACAACCGGTTCTAGCGAATAGGTGCAAACTGGTACCATGTATCTCCAACAATACGCCCCCCCCCCAATAGGAAGACCCAGCATGTTTTCTAGGCATAAAATGAAATTAAGCCCCTCCCACCAAATTTAGGCCTAGTTTAAAACATGCAGAATTGGGGGGGGGAAGGCGGGAGGGAACTTGCCATTAGGAGTGTCCCGCAGGCAGCTACGCTTCACCATCAGTCGCTCCTAACAGCCAATCATGGTGGAGCATGGAGGGCTCCCTTACCCCTCCCTTACCCACGTCAGGAGGCAGGCGGCATCTGCTACCAAGGGTAGCAGCAGCAGAAACGCTCGCTCGACTCTTCTCACGCCCACCCAGCTGCTCGGGATTAAACCAAAATGCAGCGCACGGTGCTCCCAGGTACCTCAAAATCTTTTTTTTCCTGTTGTTACGGGGATGGGGGAAAAGTAGGAGCGACTCAGATGCTGTTGTTGTTGGAGACGGCGCTGGTGCGCCGGGAGGGGGGGCGAGAAATTAATTCACCCCCGAAAAGACATCCTAGCCGTTTTTTCGGGGCTCAAAAAAAATAAGGCCCGGCCTTATTTTGTGAGAAACATGGTAGAATCCCACCCCTGCTTTTAGTTCATGTCACTCATATCTGAGGTATCTTTCAGTTTGAAGTGTTATAGGGTCTTTGCCCAAAGATCCATCCTGGTATGATAGGTGCCCGCCAGGCAGTGAAACCTGCTTCCTGTGTCAAAGGGTGGCACTTTAACCACTATGCTTCCAAACCACTATACATCAAATTGGCTACACACATACACACACACCCATACACACACACACACACGTGTGCAAGTGCACATGGACATGCCCACATACATATTTGTAATTAATACTTATCTGTAGAATAATACCACTGCATGTCTTAAAAAGCCAATGTTAAGAAAACTTCCAGAATTTGAAGTAATAAAGATTCTGAAAATATTGAGAAATTCAGTTAGGACGTTGAAATCAGATGTTTTGAATAATTTGTACTGAATGGCTGCAACAATGGCTCATGACATAATTCAATTTTGTTGTGTTGAAAATGGTCATGCCATTACTCAAATTATTAACTAGAGTAATATATTGGGTGGCTCCTATTCTAGAAAATATTGCAGATTTGTGTTTTTGCAGATATACCCATATCATAAACACAATGAATAATCCCCCTAATGTTTCCTTTAAATAATCTACTTTAGAAGTCTTGTTTTCTTCTCTACCAGTTGGATTCCTTTTGGTAACAAAAACAAGCTTTGATCTTTTGTGGAAGAAGCAAATTTTATTTCTGTAAGCAGGTATCAGGGAAAAGGTCCTTTCCCTTGTACCAAGATTAGGTCATGTAAACATGTTAGTATACGTTTATAAACAACTTAGTATATGAAATATTTTTTAAAAAAATGCTTAACCCTTTTATCCTGACATTTTTTGTTTTTTTATAAATAACTCAAAGCAACAAACATACCTAATACATTTTCCTCTTCCTATTTTCTCCATAACAATAATTCTGTGATGGGGGTGGTGGGTAAGAGAAAGTGACTGACCCAAAGTTTCACAGCTAGTTTTTCATGATTAAGGCAGCACTAGAACTCACAATCTCCTGGTTTCTAGGCCAGCACCCTAACTACTAGAACCAACTGGGCCAGACTTACAAATCCCAATTGCTTTATTTTGAAATGTTTCTTTCTATCATTTATAAAATGTTCTGTTCATAATATTATTTATATTAACATTATAGTAGTTACTAAAAATGAATACAAGTCTCTTGAGCCACTATTAACTAGTGAAATGATGCAGTACTACTTTTTCAGAACAAGATTTTTATCTTGAAAGACACTTGGACTTGCAAAGTGACTTCCAACTCTGCATAGTACTTGAATGTGGAAGTCGAATTAACCAATGTTATATTTAGCAACTTTCTAGGACAACTTCTTTTAAGCAAAAGTGACATGAGAACAGGGGCTAGAATACTGTGGTGTAGATTTGGAATCTAATATACTTTAAGATAAAGATTTATTGAAGGAGTTTTCTGCCCCTTTCCTACCATAGCAGCCAGCAGCCACCCAAGTTATTGAAAAATCTTTTTTAAGAAAATCAGTGTCTCTCTTAAATAAATGAGATAGGATGCAGAAGGTCACCCGGTTTGGAGCAATTCTCCACTGTATAACTGGCCCCCACATTCTACCCAGGAGTTTTCTTGAACCTGGGATGGAACGTGGTTGCTGGTTATGCAATGGAGAATTGCTGCAAACCCGGTAACCTTTTGCATCCTATCTCATTTGTTTAGGCGAAACACTGATCCTTTGAAAACGCTTTTTACAATTCAGGGCCAAATATGGATTTCAGGGCTGAATAGTGGAAGAAAAAACTTCCTTGTAGAAAATCTCTTAGGTTCTTACCATAAATATAAATCTGATTTGAGCTGGGTAACTATAGAAAGATATCAAGGTTCTTTTCTTGACAATAATATTGAATTGATTTAATGTTGCTTTCACTGTTTAGTCTAGGCCCTGGAATTTCTAGTTGGTCTCTCAAAATATTGTCATCTTGCTTAGCTTTTTCAATATAAGCCAAGATTTCTGGATGCGATTATCACTTATAGTATATTGCAGTCCATAATATTTGCATAAATATATGCATGGATATATAGACACACAATTTGCTGTGTGATTATTTGCTTGTGCTTGTATTTTACTCTATTGGTTTCAGGAAAGAAAGTTTATTATGTGGTCAAATTTACTTTGAAACAAGCACCTCAAATAAAAAAAGGAAATATACAGAATGGTTCAGTTTTCACTTTTAGTTACACTTAAAAAATATTGTACAAGAGCAAGATTTATGGATGCTGTGTGACTCATAGATATTCTAGACGATGGAACATATTAATATTTCATATTGGATTTGTATAATCTTTATAATCTGAGTATTACATAAAGAATATTAAATGTGACAGATCTGCTTTTACGGCTTATGTTCTAATGAAAAGCGTTGGGAGGGAGAAACCTGTGAATCATAAAATTATTTTGTGGGCATGTAGGTTCAGTAAGCAAAATGTTAATAGTTCCTGATAACTTTTCCTTTCCAAGGTGAAAAATTAACTTTTGAATTCACTTTGGCAATTTGCAAGTATATGTTGAGCGGGAGAAAATAGGTGTTTAATATTATCCTCTGGGCAAGTGTTCAAGCCAGCCATTCCTAGAAAAGTTTCTAGATTATGTTTGCATCAGAATTATGGTTTTCCATATATAGGACTGGAAAGTATGTCAAACCACAAGTAAACACAAATTGATTGGAGGTATAACATGTGAATTTATCTCTACTTGCTTAGTTATCATGAATATTATGAATGTGTGTTTATAGCCCACCCTCATAAGCTAATGACAATTTCTGTTTGAGTGTTTAAAAGATCCAGAATTCAAATTGTCCTAATTTACTTGAAAATATATTTGTATGTAGAATATATATGAAAAATTTAAAATATTGAAGGAAAACATCATCTGCATGTTAAGCTATGTAGATTTATTAATGGAACGCCTCTATGCATATTTGAATCAGATGTGTAAATGTCTGATTTTTAAGCCACTGTAACATATTTCACAGGTCGATCTTCACTATTTCCTTTTGAAGATGGCTTTCTGGATGACAGTCATGGTGACCAGTCTTTATCATCAGGGCTCAACTCCCCAACCCGCTGTCAGAATGGTGAAAGAGTCGAACGCTATTCTAGGAAGGTGTTTGTTGGAGGTCTGCCTCCTGACATTGATGAAGGTACAGTGGAATGGTGGGAGGAAGGGTATAGCGGTTTTTTGCCCTTTAAAAATTATTGACAGGTAAGGCTCAGCAATATAGTGGTTTTCAGTTCTTTAAAAACCAGGTTAACAGAGTGAGCTCTTATATTCTGAGAGCATGGATTTTATTAATTGAAGAACTTTTGTACATGCAAACATATGGAAGTATAAAAAGATGTATAAAAAGATGTAAAAACCATTGAGACTCATTTAAAAAAAATAAACCTTTGTATACGGTCATATACATACACAGTATATATGTATACACACACAAAGACATAGTATATCTATTCTTCTTGACTACTTCTGCTTTCTTCCCCTTCTCTATTGCCTATACAAACAGAGAAATAAGAAGAGACAGAAGAACACAAGATAATGTTGATAACACCATTCCAGTAACAATTAAACTTTGGCAGCAGTCCAGTAAATTCCCTGAATCCTATTACTTACTACTTCTAAGTATACCAATACAGTAGTGAATTCTGTTCAATATCTTAGACAGAAAAGTATATAATTGCCTGTTAGGATAATTTAGTGATGATGATACAGTACTTCTAATTCTTCTAGTATAGGTAGTCCTTAACTTACAACCACAATTGACTCCAAAATTTCTGTTAAGTGAGACAGTTGTTAAGTGAGTTTTGCTCCATTTTATGACCTTTATCATGAAAATTATTGCAGTTAAGTGAATCACTGCAGTTGTTAAATTAGTACACGATTGTTAAGTAAATCTGGCTTCCCCATTGACTTTGCTTGTGAGAAGGTTGCAAAAGATGATTACATGACCCCAGAACACTGCAATTGTCATAAATATATGCCAATTGTCAGACATCTGAATTTTGATCATATGACTGTTGGGATTCTGCAATGGTCATAAGTGTGGAAAATGGTGATAAGGCACTTTTTTCAGTGCCATTGTAACTTTGAATAGTCACTAAATGAATGGTTGTAAATTGAGGACTACCTGTATAATAATAACATAGAATTTGGATCAAAATAGCTTAAATTGATTTACAGTCCTAATTAGTAATTTCACCATAGGACAGGGAATATAAATATTTTTTTATTTTTCTGGTGTTACTTTTATTAATATTACAGCAGTATGTTTTTCCATAGCCAGAGCTACATCTACATTTCATATGAGCAGTATACTAGCATTAGTCAGTAGCCCTCGACTTCATTGACAGGTTCTTTTCCTCTGCATTAAAAAAAGACAAAAAAACTAAACACAGATAAGACACGGAAAGAAGTTAACACAGAGTAAAAAAAGAAATTTAAGAAATTTGATTCCAAATAGAGCTTTGTTTTGAAATATATGAAGTGCAAAATTTAGTGAAACATCTTGTTTTGATATACAAGTGCTGTTTCAAACACACAGTGACTTTTTCCAGTATTTTGGAGGTGTTTCAGGGTAACTGACAGGCACTTCTGCTTTTGCCTTTGACATATTCAAGGTTAGAATAGTTCTTTTTTTCAAGTTCAAAACACCTCAAAAATGCTCAAAACAACTCATTGTAACTGTGATTTATGATCTCTGACTTATCCCTTTGTTGTTGTATGGGGGCACAGAGCTTATGAGACAAATTCCTTGGGTGTCCAATCATACTTGGCCAATAAAGAATTATATTCTATCCTGTTCCATTTTGCTCTGAATGCTCAACATTTCAAGGGATCTCATGCTCAAAACATTTTGTACACCTGTAGTTCCAAAACTGAAAAACTTGAACTTCAGGCGCATGAAATACAGGTAGTCCTCGACTTACAACCATACTTGGGACTAGAAATTATGTTACTAAGCAAGGCAGAAGTTAAATGGTTCGTTCCTGATTTTACATGCTTTTTTTGCCATCACTGATCATTAAACGAATCTGGGTTCCCCCATTGATTTAGCTTGTCAGAAGCTGGCTGGGAAGGTCATAATTGGTGATCACATGACCTGGGATGCTGCAGCCACCCTAAATACATGCCAGTTGTCAAGTGCCCAAATTTTGACCACTGACCCTGGTGATGCAGTAACAGTTCTAAATGCAAGGAACCGTTTTAAGTCACTTTTTTCCTGCTGCTGTAACTTCAAACCGTCACTAAATGAATGGTTGGAAGTGGATGACTACCTGTACTTTAAAAAATCAGAACCATTAAGGAAAATTACTTAGTTTTATCATTCAATTTTATTTCTGATGAATCTTAATTATTATTTTGTTATAGATGAAATCACTGCTAGCTTTCGTAGGTTTGGACCTCTCGTGGTGGACTGGCCTCACAAAGCTGAAAGCAAGTCATATTTTCCACCTAAAGGTAATTTGTTTCAGTTTTATGAAGCAGGGAAATGTTCTTCTCCTTGTATAAATTGTTCAGTGCTTGAAATATTGGCTTCATCTTCCTTGTCATCTATAACTTTGTCATGTATTTCTGTTCTAAGGTTGAATATGCCATTGCATATCTGCAATGAAATTCTACCCATAATAATACTGTGTTTTCTGTGGTTTCATAACCATTTTTCTGGATATCCTGCAACATGGGTTGTTTGAATCTTTTGTATAATAACTATCCAGCCTGGGTGGGTAATTTCACATGAAGATATTGGTATTATTCATGATAGGGCAGTCAATACTACACTTTTTTATCATAATGTACCATTTTCCTCAATCCTAGAATTGTATATACTAGTAGTATATAAGTACAATTCTGACCTTCACTATTGTAGAAACAGTGTGATCAGAGCAGAGAGTGTAGGATACAAATGTTTTTGTATCTTTTTCAAATATCTAAACATTTCCTTATCAGAATAATTTCAAAATAATTGTCAAAAATCTGGTACATAATAATTACTGTTAAGAACAACTGCATTTATCTCAGTAACATTTAATGTTTAGAGCACTTTTTAAAAAATTTTATTTGCAAATGAAGAATGAAAGTATCTCTTTCAGTAGGTATAAAATATCTATGAATGGGAAGGTTAAAACTACCTTGATTATTTAAATGAAGCTATTAATATATTAACCTATAAATTTATTTTGTATGCTAAAGTTTTATTTTTATTTTATCAGATGCCTAATATGCATTCAGTTCCTAATTAACCAGCTGATTACTAATTATCCGCGGATTAGTTTCAGTATTGTCTTTTCATTAACATTTTAGCCTTTTCTGATTCTGGTCATTTGCCAGGAAGAGGAGAAAGCCAGCAGTTTCTGTATTCCCCAAAACACTATGAAATGTTCCTCATTTTTATCCTTTAGAAGCATAGAACATACAAGAATAACGAGGGAATATTCTTCACTCCTTTATCTAGCAGCAGCATTTCATAAGTTTTTCCAACATATTAACATTTTATCACATTTCACTTATATATGCGAAGTGGAATTTTTGTGTTTTAGTGCAATTTTTCTTTCTGGTTATAGTATTACTGAATTTCTTCATACCATCTAATATAATCTAACTTCTTTGGTTTAGGAATTGAGAACTCCAATAAAGAATTCTTTAGTTCTCAAGGCACCCTGCATTTTGGAAGATTAAATCAGTGCTCTCTTGTGTTTATTAAAAATATTCTTGAGTGAAATATATTTTAGCAGAAGACAAGGATATAGAGTCTTTTCTATTTTTTGCCAAGGCACTAATATGAGAAACAGCTTTCAAAGTGCCTGCCAGTTGCCCATGAATGTCTGTCTGAAAGTGATAAACACTTTGTCACAACTGTTCCAGATTATTTATAACTGGCTTCTGAACTGTCAGAATTTTAGCAGACAACTTCCAGCATAACGATTAGAAACTCTGTTAGAATTCCCAGAATTGCAAGATCTCAGCATTAGATTGGAGATTACCTCAGCTAAGAAGTCCACTATATAATATCTCAGTAAAATTCTCAGTGCTAGGTGTCCATATTTAAAGTTCATAAAATAAACACCAGAAATTGAACCTGGAATTTCTATTGTAATTCATTACAGTCATTAAGCGGGTCACCACATAACCTGATTTGATTTTATGACTGTTTTTACAATGGCCATAGAATGAGTCACCAGCGTTGCTAAGCAAATCATGTGGTCAGTAAGTGAACCACAGGAACGTTAAGCAAATCCACTCTCCAAAATGGGCATTTTTTTTGCAAAAAGATGCCGAAAACTGGCAAAAAACATTGCAAATTATGTGACTGCAGGATGCTGCAACCTGCTATAAATTCAAACCGGTTGCCAAACTCTTAAAATAAGATTGTGTGGCTGTGGGTTGGGTGGGGTGGGGGAGGATGGCAGATTTACTTTCAAGGATGGGTCATAAGTAAGTTTTTGGAGTTTATCATAACTACAAACAGTCTTAAAGTGAACAGTTGTTACGTGAGGACTATCTGTATATGATTCATAATTTTTTCTCTGTTGGGTAATTTTCTGTTTGAAAATAATTCATCAGGCTTTCATACTTATAAGATTACTAAAGAAACAGTGACTTTTTTGTGTATTTAAACAGCAGATTACAGTGCTAGTTAATTATGAATTTATAACATACATTAATTAGATATGTTATTTACTCTGTTAAATATGTCATAAGTAATTTCTATTATTCTAATGATTATTGACATAGTTCACAGAATATCATTTCTATTATTATGTAAATATTATGTTACTTAAAAAATCACAAATGAAATATACATAAATACATTCTTAAAGGAAAATTCTGTCCAATCTCATAATCATAGCTTATAACTTACAATTATAAATAAAACATTGGAATGATATGAATTATATAAATGATTGCACACAGATGACTTTTTAAAACTAAAACTAAAGTTAAACCAAAACAAAATAAGAGAGATGAGCAAGAAACAAAGAAAATACAGAGCTACCCAATTCCTAATTTGGTTCAGTTGTCTCTAATAAGAAAATATTTGATACATAGATAATTGTGAAAGCCAGAATAAAGCCTATTACTACAAAATTAAGTTTAAAAACTCTAGGCTGGAAAAAACTGTATCCCAGAATACCAAAGAAGTTGGCTATGAGTTTTATATATGATCCTTGAGTAATTATGAAAAAATAATTAAGTAGCAGGTGAGTGGAGAACAAATCTTGACCGTTTTCGAAAATATGAAAAAAAAGATCCAGAAATCTATAGATCATTCAATCTTATATAGGTACCTTTAGAAAATCCTAGAGCAATTAATAAACACATTCATGTGTAAGAACCCTGAAAATAATGCAATAAATATATGAAGTCAACATGGTTTTACCAAGAGTATGTCTTGTCAGACTAACCTTATTTAATTATTGATTGGACAACTTTTCTTAATTATAGGAATGCTATAAACATGCTATATATTGATTTCAATTAAATATTTGATACCGCATGATTGCTTATTGGCAGGGTAGTTATAAGTGAATTGTAAAAAAAGTGGGGGGGAAAACTACATATAATCCTTGTTTAGCAATCAGTCAAACTGCCTCATTTAGCAACTATTCGTGGTTAAAATGGTGATGAAAAAGTAACATCATGATCATTCCTTGCATTTTTCATCTTTGCAGGTCTATAAAGTGAAGATAAGCTGAAGTAAGATCATAAACGCAATTATGTTTTCACTTAGCAATCACTTCCTTAACCACTAAGTTGCCAGTCCCAATTGTGTTTGCTAAACAAGGACTACCTGTAATGTTATGGTTTGGGGTCAGGGATATTGTGTTTTTGAAGACATTTTAAAAATGTTGTGTTGTTTTACAACCTTCATGTTATGTCTGTTATTTGTGCTGTGTTTTTTTATAATTTGTATTTACTAATTTTATTCTTTTCCTCCAAGGTTATGCTTTTCTGCTATTCCAGGAAGAAAGCTCTGTTCAAGCTCTGATAGATGCCTGTTTAGAAGAAGATGGTAAACTTTATTTATGTGTATCAAGTCCCACTATTAAGGACAAACCAGTAAGTAAAATTATAATGTAGTCATTTCTTTCAATAATTGAAACAAAATGTTCTGAAAAGGAGTTGCCTGTTCAGTTTGATGAGGGCAGTTTTAGTACTATAATCCTGAGTTTGTTTAATTTTCTTGGTGGTAGTTGTAACCTTCAAGGTTACATTGAAGGTCACCTATGTATTCAAATACAATCATTGCATCCATTATACAGTCCATTGTATTAATTTTATGTGCACTGGGAGTCTTAAAACATTCTATCCTGGTCTTCGGTATGTGTTTAAAAATTCTTCATCTCAACAAAACAGCTGTCATTAAAATTCAAGAAGACAAAAAATTATCTCAATGTTGATTTTGCTCATTCCACTTATATATTTAAACTCTTTATGATCAGAGTCAGTAAGCAATGCAACATTCTGCTGACTTAATCTTCATATATGTTACTTTCCCCACTAGAGAATTGGGGAGATACCATACATTTGGATTGTTTAATCTGTTATATAGAATGATGACTAAAATACTATTATTTTCCTTGAGCAAACAAATAATATAAACATACGTTCATAACAAAGAAGCAAATAACTAACACAATTTCTCTCTTTCTCTTTCTCTCTTCTCATACACACACACACACACACACACAAGCAAGAGCGAGCAATGTACTTTTTAATATACAATAACATGGAATCATAATAATAGCATAAAAGCATCAAATATCATGCTCTTGCCTGTATTATATTACATTCAGTTGAATAGTAGGAATAACAATAATAATATTCCTTATATATATATGGAATTGACCAGCATATAAACACTATTGGCATATAAACATATATGGAATTGAGCAGCATATAAACATTATGCTGCTCAGTTCAAAAAGGTTGGCTTACAATAATACAAATATAAAATATTGGGCTATTTACTAAAAAGGGTCAATGAAAACAGAGTGATTGTCCCAATACAGCAAATAACACAAAATAACTTGACTAACTATTTCAGATTTATCAGTTCCATGTGGAGTTTCCCCTATATTGTTGCTGAGGGGAGTGTGTAAAAGTTCTACGTAGAATGAAGTTTTAAAACAATAAATAAAATGATATTAGCTGTGGATATGTAATATCTACTTATTCACATGTAAGATTTATCAGATTTTTTTTGTTCTTTTGAAAATGTTCAGTACAAAATATTCAAGGGTTTATCTGAGTTCAGCTAGCTAACCACTTAAATGAACAGAGTAAATGCTTTCCATTCAGACAGATCTCTTAGCTTAAGTAAATAAATGCATTTTCTTTTCACCCAACATTCCTTTAGCTTTCAAAATGTTATTAAGTAGCAAAAACTATATTTTGGACAGCAGAGGATATTGTTTGAACAACCTGTCTTCCAAGGATTGGATTATAAAAGAGCTTTTACACTTTTTTCCCCCCCCCCCCATCCCGCCCAAAAGTAAATAAGTTACTTTTTTAAATTACTTTTAAAAATCTCCTTATCGAAAGAAATTTAACATGTGGTATTAGATGGGAGTAGAGAGGCAGTTCCTCAAGAAATATAAACCCCTTTATATAAATTGAAATGGAATGTGTTTCTGTAATCCTGGTTTCTTTCTATCTTATAGTACTTCTTATAGAAGGACATTTTAAAGGAAATATTTAAACCTTAATATATTATCTATTGAAATCATAACAGGCAGTTAGTTCAGAGTTGTGCATATTTAATTTGAAAAGCAAAGTCATGAAAAGGGGAATAATTGCTCACCCTAACTGCTCACCCTATTCTATACCCTATAGAATTTTATCCATTTCCTGTTTACAGGTTCACCAGCAACCAGAATCTTTATGGTCCTGAAAGCTGAACAGATGCTTATTTGCTTATCCTTCCTTACCTTACCTTACCTTATCTTACTTTTACCTCACTTACCTTTCTTCCTAGCCAGTTCAAGGGAGGTGGAACATAGCAAGCTGCATTGATCCCGAGACTGGGAGGAGTGTAACAGATTGGCAGGCTCAAGTAAATAATGAGGCAGTGAGGATATGAAAACACAGAAACTATAGCTACCTGCTACAACATCTTGCCCCAAAGAGGCGGCCAATGGGATTTTCAGATGTGCAATTCTATATTAGCCAGACAGTAGATCCAGTTTGATGGGGGTTTTCAACAGACAGATGGAGTCTATTTGTACTGTAGTGTTAGCAAATAGTTGATTGGATCAACACAATTCTCCTAGGCAAGATTTTATTTTAAGTTGATTTTTTAAAAATCCAATATGTTCAATTTTTAATTTTTAGTTCAGATTCTGTGTGTATTCCATTTTGAATATATAGATTTAGCATCACATTTTGCAGGAATCTATATGCAGTTTAAGGCTTTATGTAGGATTACAATTGACTCTCCAGTTCCATAAACCAATCCTACCATTAGATTGTCTAGTATCATTTATGGAATAAGATCCTACATGCATATACAAGAAGTCCTTGCTTACCAACCATTAATTCAGCAGCCATTTCAAATTACAACAGGAAAGAGACTTACAACTGGTCCTCCAATATGGCATTGGCATACATTTAGATAGTTGCAGCATCTCACGATCCCATGATCACAATTTGCAACATTTACAGCCAACTCCTCACAAGCAGAGTCATTGGGAAAGACAGCAAGAAGTTGCAAGCCATGGTTACATGATGTCAAATTTAACGACCCATGGTGATTTTCTTAATGACTTCAGATGGAACTCCCAAACTGCCATCCTATGATGGTCATGGTTATGTGATGTTTCATTTTACAACTACATCACTTAATGACAGAGTAGACATTCCAATTGTGGTCAGTAATATATGTGAATCATTTTATGTGGATATTTTTGCATCTAGGATTTGATTGCTTCCTAGATTTTAATAGCAAAAATGTATACTTTAAAGGAAAGTGTAATTACCCAGAGTGGGATACAAAATAAACACAGTCACAAAAACCAGGTAAATCCCCTTTTATTCCTTCATTTTGCTTCCAAGCTCCAAATATCCTTGACTGGAGACAAAAAACTTCTACACGAGCAGTTACAAGAAGGAGGAAATGCCGTTTAAATTATAAAGAGTAAAAAACAACACAAACCAGGCAAGATAAGGGCTGGAGGATGTCCCCAGATAACAGAACACACACTGGGAAGGACGACAAACTCAGAGGGGAACCATAAACTAGAGATATTTCCACGCTTTGTTTCCAGCACTTGCCCATACGCATGTCGGTCCTCTTATCCAGTTGTCACAGCTGCAGCCCATGAAGAGGATCAAGGCCCTCTCCTCCCGAGTAGACCACGTCTCTCCCTTATCCTCTCCTCCCTGTGTGCCCTTTGATGGATAGGGGATGGGCCTGGGTCCTCCTCTGACTGCCCAGCTGGCCTCTGCCCTTCCCCAGCCTCCTCCACAACCTCTGGAGCTACATTTCCACTCCCTGTCAGCTGTTCCTCCTCTCTCTCAGAGTCAGTCTCCACCAGGGGCATGACAAAAAGTTTATCAATTATAGAAATTGAAGAATTATGTAAACTACAAAATAGCCTGGACTTTATTCTCATATAAAATAAAAAAAATTGAGTAACTGAGTCAAGATTGAAAGGATAGAAAAACTTTTCTGTGATATAAACTAAGTTGTTGAGTACTTTGTTATGACATATGACAAATAGTTTATCTTATTCTTTGTTCTGCACCTTAATCTGAAGTTCTGTGTTTTTCATCAAAATTATTCATGTTGCAATAGCAAAATCTTCACATCTTCATGTTTGCAGGTGCTTTACTATCTTGTGGCTCACAACTCTGTTCTGTTCTGTTCTGTTCTGTACTTATCAACTATTTATAATAGGTATATTGGATGCTTCATATTTGAGTTGTCTTAATATTATAGAGTCTCTATGTTGCTTTGATGTCTCAGAGAGTAAGTTTACACATTTTGTGGGCATCCTAAATAAATACAATAGTAAGCTGCATGTCTTTCTGCTTATCATATTATTATGCCATGCAGAAGTGAACCTCTTACACTAAGCTTTAACTAATTTTTCCTACTTGCAAAACAAGTTGATATTATGATTAGCAGACATTACTGTAAAAGTAAGTTTGAAGAGATTCCAGTATGATCTATAGAATCTATATGAACTATAGAAATTTATCATTTTCTAGGCAATATATGAGACTATCTTGCTATATTGACAAAAGCTAATGTGTATTTGCTGTTCCTTAGTTAATATAATACATGTTTTTATAAAGAGGACTTCTAAAACATTCAGCCCATGAATTGATTTTGATACGTATGGATAATTAAAGCATTACATAAAAGTTGTTAGTCTTAGATTAATTTTCAAAAGGCAGATTAAAAGGAAACTGATCTTTGGAATATTTCAGGTACAAATTCGACCTTGGAATTTAAGCGACAGTGACTTTGTAATGGATGGTTCTCAACCTTTAGACCCCAGAAAAACTATTTTTGTGGGAGGAGTTCCACGACCCCTTCGAGCTGGTGAGTAAAAATATTAAAAGCCAGATGACTGTGAAAAACTTCTTAAAGCTTGATACCTAGTTTTATTTAGGGTATTTCAAATGACTGAGTTCTACTTCTCTTCTTTTTGTATATTTGCTATTTTAAATTGCAATTGAATGGAGCCAACTGGGTAATCTCATAAGTGATTTTTGCTTGATACTCTTCTTTCTCTCTCCTATATTTCAAAATTTATCCAGGATGATTGGGAGATCTTCTCAAACCAGCTATTACCAGGGTTTGAAGCTCAGGAGGAAAAATAAGTGAACATTGCAATCCTATCTATTTATCCTTATAGAAAGGATTATGGTTTTCTTCACCAAAGGAGTCCTTCCAGTTACCATAGGCAGCTATGTTAAATTCAAGAGGGAGTATTTAAAAAAAAACCCTGAAAGCACTGTCAATATCCAGTGAAGAAGAATTACTACAGTCCTCATATAATTAATATTTAAGTCTTTCTCTGGAAATATCAGATTATTTTAAATAAAAATCCTAATAATTCTTGCTACATATTTCAGTATTCAATTCAAATTTACAAAGTGCAGTTCTTTAGTATGTCTCAAGTCCCCATTTTTTTGGACTGAATATTTTAAATAGGAAGCATTCCAGAATCTTTCATAATGTGACATATTTTTTTGACATTGCCTTTAATATTTTTCTCTACTTCAAAAATTGTCCTTTTGAACTCTATAAGCGTAAACCAACATCTTTAAGGACTGATAGAATTTATACATACTGTTGTTAAAATAGCCCAGGGGTGTCAAACTCACCACGTCACATTGCCATCATGTGTTTCATGACGTTTTTCCCATTAGGGAAAATTCCCTAGGGTGGGCCTGGTCTGTGCGTGATGCATCTGGCCCACAGGCTGCCAGTTTGACATCCCTGAAATAGCCTAATCCTCCATTTTCCTTTGTCTTTAGCGACTTAACAGGGAAGAGCATAATGCAAATGTTGATGCTACTTTCAGATTTCATTAGAAAAATCTAAGATAGGATTCTGAATGTTCTGTACATACAATAATAGTATTTCATTTAAAATGATGGCAAGTTTTGACTGATAGTTTGAATTCTTCAATCTTTGTCCATTTTTTAAAATGTATCTTTTAATATAATGGAAGAGGCATCAGTTGAAAACCTATAAAATAAATTAATGTTTCCCAGATTGGTTTCTCTTTTTTAATATAAATTTTGTTTTTAAAAATTGCCTTGAGATTATTTTTTGTTAGTTAAGGAAATATATAGTATTTGGAAAAGATTTAAATAATTTAAGAAGTAGAATTATTTTTAAGAAGACAGTTTTCACTAAAATAGTTTTTGTTGAGTGTTATAATCCAGTTGATCTTTAATTTTATGCATTAGCAAATTTAAATTTAATGATTGTAACATGAAACTTGGAGAGAAACTAAAATTCCAATGAGAGCCAGTTTGGTGTAGTGGTTAAGTCTCAGGATAGACACTGGGAGACTGATTTCTTGTCCCACCTTGGACACAAAGCCAGCTGGGTGACCTTGAGCCAGTCACTTTCTGTCAACCATAGGAAGGAAGCAATGGCAAACCACTTCTGAAAAGTCTTGCCAAGAAACCTTGCAGGGACTTCTTCAGGTAATCTCTGAGAAACTGTTACAATTGAATGGAAGGAGGAAAAAAATCTGATATATTGCTTATGGCAACTTTATCCCTTATCTGAGGCTATAATTTGGAATCGTGCTTGTAAACAATGCCTCAGATTTTTTAAATTTTATTATTAAAATTTATTAAATTATTTTAATTTTTCTTCTTTGACCAAAAACCTATACATTGCTTCCTCATGAGGCTGTTACTGTTATCAATAACTGTTGTGACCAGTGTTATTGTTTGTATAAAAGGGCTTTCAGTGACATATTACAGATTGGAGCAGAGAATGTGTAAACTGATTTTGTTCCTCTCTGTATAAATTATATATTGTGAATCTGTATATTTGAGCCTTGCAATCACATTTAATTTAAAATATAATTTCTGTACTACATTTATAAATTTAACTCCAAATATGTATTTTTCTCATGTCTTAAGCAACAATGACTATGCCTACCATGCATATTGCAGACTTCATAAGCATCTAGAATAAAAGGGCCAGGTTTTTTTTTTATTCCATGTAGAATATTAAGAATATACCTAATTGGATTTCCAATCTATTAGCTCTTGATAAATCCAAATTAATCCAGATTAATATAGTTACCAATCATTGAGTGTAATCTATTGACCAATATTGACATGCATATTTTATCATCTTGGTTCACTAAAGGGATAGGTGTATATCAGGAAATGCCTGTATGATACCTCCTGTCTTTGGGAATGATTGCAGATATTCCTTAAACACTACTCATTCAGTGATCATTCAAAGTTTACAAGCACACTAAACAAAGAGACTATCTGTCTTCAAAGTTGTAGCCATTGCAACCTCTCTGTGGTCATGTGATTGCAATTTGGGCACTAGACAAATGGTGTGCATTTACAATGGTCATAGTGTCCCATTGTCACGTGATTACTTGTGACCTTTATTAGGAAAGCTAACAGGAAGTCACAGGTCACCGTCCAGTAATATTGTGGTTAACGGGCTATGGTTATTCACTTAATAACTGCAGCTGGAACTGGTGAACTGACATTGTAAATCTGGCATGGCCGCATGACTTTTACATTATGACCAATGGAATTGCCAGTCACAGCTATGGTCAGTAATTGAGAATTACTTCTACTGTTATTCTAAAAAAGGTCAAACTGAGACTTTTTCCAAATAATTAGTTACATCTATTTATTTAGACTATGTGCTGTATACAACCATCTACTACTATCAAATATTGTCAGAAACACTGAAATGTTATTTTTTTTACTATAATCCAGTAATAAAAACAACATGCTTCAAAAGAGAAACTTTCCTTATGCATTGGCTAATACTTTAACTTTTGTCTCAATATTTGTAACATGTTTAATTAGTGGCCTTCTTTGCTATTTTATTTGTAACTGTTTCTTTTAAATTTTGTCGATTGTCCATTGTCTAAATAATTTTAATAATGTTTATATTTAGTCCTTTTATATTGCTTTCTCAGATGTACTTTTAATTCTATCTTCTACTTTAAATTGGTCTTTTTAACCATAGCTGATTGCTATGATAGATTGATTGATAGATTGCTTTATTCTAGTTCCATTTGATTACTTAAAATCAGCTCAAGATTTTTTAAACATGGGATACTAAATTTAATGTACCTATTCTATTTTTATTAATAGGGCTATGTATCTCATAGTATTGTTTTTTAGTTCAAGCCATTTAGGGAGAAAATTTGGAAGTGGTGGTAATAATCTCCTCCTTGGATATTTGGTATCCAAATTATATTTTATATTTAGATTAATTATCTCAATTAAACGTACAATCCAAAAATGTATTTAAATACTACTTATTATTACTTCTAATTGTTGAAATTGCAGTATAACTGGGTTTTTTTGTTATAATAGTGTGCTGATAATAGCATTCTTTTCTTATGGTTAATCAAATTTTGATATATAAATTGTCTCTTGTGTGATAAGCCAGAGGTGTTCTGTATTAGATTTCTTGGGGGTTTACTCCATGTTCAATTTGAGGGAGGTCTTTCTAACTCTTTTTGCCCCCTCTTACTGTTCTCTACGTTTTGTAGTTAATGGAAGACAATTGAGGGATCAGGTTCCTAAGAAATAAGTAAAAACAGTAACTGTATAGAAGTGCCAGAGATTCTGAAGATTAAATTTATGGCCATTTCACCATATTCATGTTCTCTTATAGTTGAACTAGCTATGATTATGGATCGTTTGTATGGAGGCGTCTGCTATGCTGGCATTGATACAGACCCAGAGTTAAAGTACCCCAAAGGTGCTGGTAGAGTGGCTTTCTCCAATCAGCAGAGCTATATTGCTGCTATTAGTGCACGCTTTGTCCAGCTCCAGCACAATGACATCGATAAACGGGTAAGTGAAGCATCTTTGGTTGGCTTAACTCTGCAGACATGTTGCATAGATGCCTGGTGAAGTTGGACCATTCATTGATCTATAATCCAGGATTATCCAATGTGACTAATAGTTGCTTTACAGAGGCTATAATATAAATTAGTACATTTTTCAAAAATTCTTTTTTTTTAAATTTTATTGGTTTTTAAAAACAAACATAAACAAACAAAACATAAAAACATCAAGCTATCTTCCATAGGTGTACATACAGTGTGCCGGTTGGTTTACAGATTGTTTTGTGCTTCCATTTCGTAGTCTTCGATTACAATTACATTGCATATGATCTCATATTGTCAATCAAACATTAAATTAATCAATCATTTGACTATACTTTTATTCATTCATGTTTTACAAGATAATCATAGTTTACTTAGTTTATTTTATAACAGTTCATATTATCATCCCAAATCTATCCTAAAATCATTTTGTAGATATAATAAGAAAAAGTACATCTTTATATATTTATTATTTTCTAAAAGTCTACGTATTTCATTACTGTATTTTATTGTCTAACCATTGATAGAAAAGATCCCAAATTTTATAAAATTGTTTATCCTCTTTTTTTAAAAAAAAAAAAATTTATTGATTTTTTAAAGACAGACAAAACATAGGACATAAAGGCATAAAACCTCCTTTCTAAAAAAATTACTTATAAGTTTTAACAAGGCAAATAAAACATTATTTTTTAAGGCATAGTTCCACATTATCACATTTCCATTTAAGCACATATATATCTTTTCCAAATTTCTCATTATTTCTCCCTTCACTTTTATTCAATTATATTTCTTTCTATCAAGGTTTTATTAATTCTCAATCAAATATAAACATTTATACAGCATAGTTCCAAATTATCACATTTCCATTTAAACACCTATATATCTTTTCCGAATTTCTCATTGTTTCTCCCTTCACTTTTATTCAATTATATTTCTTTCTATCAAGGTTTTATTAATTCTCAATCAAACATGAACACACAAAATACAAAACATAAAACAAGACATAAAAACATATAACCTTCTTAATTATCATTTGTACATGGATAATTGTTTATCCTCTTGTTCTCTAATTTCAAATGTCAATCTACTCATTTCAGCACATTCCAATATTTTCTTAATGATTTCCTCCTGTGATGGTATTTTCTCATTTTTCCAGTTTTTAGCAAATACAATCCTGTTAATACATTTACAATCAGGTATTTCAAGTCTTTACTATATATTTTAGGTAGAATTCCCAATAAAAATATCTCTTGTTTCAAATCTATATGCTTTTTTGTCATTAGATCAATTTTGCTGGGGTGGTCTCTTTAATATATAAAACCACTCCTCTTTTCTTACATTGTGTCAAGGAAGAAAATATTTTCCCTAATTTTGGCTGTACCAACAATTGGTTATATTGTTTTTTAATATGTACTTCTTGTAGACAAATTATATCAAATTTTAATTTCTCTAATTTATGAAAGGTTTTCCTTCTTTTGACGGCTGAGTTAAGTCCATTTATATTAATTGTAATCAATTTTTTCTCTTCCATGGTTATATTTTATAGTTAGGTTTAGCAGCTCTCGTAGATCTTAGTTCATGTTGTTCTTTGGCTTCCACCTTTCCACCTACTGCACCTTCTTCTTTTTCAGTCGCCATTTGGCAGTCCTTTTGGACTTCAATTAGTGAGATCTCTTTTTCTGCCTCTTTCCCTCCAAAAAATTCTGTATAAAATAATTCCACTTTCTCAATTGAGTCAATTCTATGTCTCTGTTCTTGCCATGTGATTTTTAAAGTAGCATTTTAGTCAGGAATCGGTATTCTCTTCTCATCTCTCTCACTCTTCTGGGTATTTGTTTCAAGACCACAATCTCCTTGTCTTTGTATTTCAATGTTTTCTCTTTTGCCACTTGCAATATTTGCGTTTTAATGGCTTTCTTTGTAAATCTAATGTGAACTTCTCTTGGTAGGCTATTTCTCATCACATATCTTGTGAAAACTCGATAAACCTCATCTATTCCATCCATCATCTTCTCTTGAGTTATTTCCAAAGCTTCAGCCAGTATTTCTATCATTATCTCAGCTGAGTTTTGTCCTTTTTCTTCCTCTACATTTTGAAATCTAAGATAGAATTCTGATCTATCCATCTCCCATCTCAACATACCACTTTTATCTTGTTCAACCACCGTTAATCTATTATCAATATCTCCAATCTTCTTGTCTCTTTGTTTATCTTCTTCTTCAATTTTTTGGAATCTCTCATCATACTTCAACATCATTTGTTGGATGTTCTCCACTTTTTCATCGGTTTTCCCTGTTTTTTGTTCAATGTTCTCTGTTCTTTGTTCAATGTTCTCTGTTCTTTGTTCGATGTTCTCTATTCTCTTTTCAATATTCTCTGATCTTGCTTGAATATTTTGAATTCCTTGCATAATCATCTGCAGAGTCACTTTTTCTTGTTCTTTTTCTTGCTTGAACATTGTCTGTATTGAACGTTGTCCTCCAGATGGTGAAGAGGAAGAAGTAGAAGTTGAAGAATCAGGAGCTGTAAATTTCCTACTCATTTTAAGCAATTCAAAATCTTCAGGTTCTTCTAAACCTTAATCCAATTGTGAAGTAACCAATTATAGTTCAAAATAAAAATAGTAGAAAAAAGAAGCCCAATAATAATAATAAAAAGAAAGAAAAAAGAAGGGAGGACAAAATTTCTTCAGGTTCTTGTATACCTTAATCCAATCAATAGTTAGATGAAGAAAAAGGCTTAAGAAAAAAAAGAAAAAGGAAAAATTCTTCAGGTTCTTCAACACCTTAATCCAATTGAAAGATCTCAAATAGAAAAAAGTATATAAGAATAGACCAGAAAGGTAGATGAAAAAACAAAAATACCAGGAAAGGGGGGGGGGGAAGGCTTTTAAGGCTTTCCCTTTAAAATAAAAAGCAAACGTAGAGATTGGACTTCCAAAGAAAAAAAGAAAAACAAAGACAAGCTCCAACAAAGCCAAAAACCCATATAGTTATTACAAAAAAAGAAGAAGAAATACAATAAAGCTGGTGAGGAGGGATAGCACAACTTAGAAAAAGTAAAAAGGGCACACTGCACTTTGTTTAATTATCCAAGGCTCTTATTATAGCTCTCTTCTCCAAAAACTTATCACCTTTTCCCCCCTAAGTTTCAACACCAGACTCCAGCTGTTGATAGAAACCCAGAAGAGCACCTGCAATCATACTCTCCCATGCTCTTCCCTCTATCTTATCAAATTCAATGTCTTTGAAAAAGAGTCTCAGTTCTTTCTTTCTCAGCTTTGTCTGGTCACAGGGAAATAGAATATTTTCAAGCCTCTAGTTGGCAGTGTTACAAAGTTTCTTTGCTCTCACTTTCCCCCTCCTTTTCCGAGCAGGATATAATAAGAATTAATTAGAAAAGAAAAAGATATTTTTTAAAAATGATATAACTAAAGGGAGCCTCTAGCTTAAAATATCACAAAATCAAAAAGGAGAAGAAAAAAATAGATATAAATGAAAAAACCAGTCCAGTTTCAAAATACAAGATCATATATAGAAAATCCAGCAATGAGAAAAAAAACCAAAAACATTACTTTGACATTCCTGTTTAAAATCACAGCTTAATCACTTCTGTCAAAACTTTTACAGATTCTTTCTTTTCCTTAGGGTGTCCTTTCAGATCTTAGAATAAAAAAAAAGTTCTCACCAAACCGGCACACTCTCTCTTTCTGTTCTCTTCCGTTTCGGAGCTGTCCCAACTTCAGCAGCTTTAATGGCTGCCTCTTTGCCGCTGGCAAGAAGAGCTTCTCCCGGATCTACCAGGGACTTTGCAATATCCCTGGGATCGACAGGATGCGCTCTTCACTTTCACTGTCTCTTCGGGACAGTTTAGATCCGATAGGACCATCCAGGAGCAAAGATATAGGCAGCGATCTCAGACCTCCAAGATCGCATGCCGTATCGTCGCAACGCCAGCTCCGCCCTCTCACATTTTTCAAAAATTCTTTAGAACAGATAGGAGTACATGTTTGATCATAATGTCTAATATAATGTCTAATGTCTATAATGTCTAATATTTACAAGAAAAATAAAGCAGTATGAGAAAGGTAGAACTTCTAATAGAGTATTAAGGCTAATTATATTTTAACATGGAACATACTCAAATATGCCTAATAGTTTTACAGATAGTTCTCCCTTTCTGACTATTTGTTCAGCATCCCTTTGAACTTATAAAATAAAAATAAATAAATAAATAAAAACTAGTCTTACAACTGGTCCTCAAATTAGTGGCCATCACAGCACTTGGCTACTGTCATGCATTTATGATGGTCACAGTGTGCCACAGCCCTGTGATTGCCTGTTGTGACCCTCACAACCAGCTTCCAATAAGCAAAATCCATGGAAAAGCTGGAAGAAGTCACAAGTTATGGTCTTATGACATTGTTCTTATTGACCCATGGTGATTTGATTAAAGACCATAGCTGGAACTGATGTCATAAGTCAGCACAGTCCATGACATCACACAATAACTGCACCACTTAGCAAATGAGTTGCCAATCCCAATTGTCATTAAATGTGGAATTTCTGTATAGGCCTTTCCGTTCTAAATCTTAATGACTTTAAACTTGGGAAAAAAAGAGATGCTAAACATTCCTTGTAATAGGGAAAGAAATGACAGTAATATTTTAACAATGATTAAATTAAAGGCAGAATTTATTTGGCAATATAAATAACAAAGACTAGGCTTTCCTACAAATACTGTGAAATATGGAAATTTAGCTGTGATTCTGAGCTCGAAATGCTGGAATCAATAGCTAGAATTTTGATACCAAGAGAATTGCTGCAGGATTGATAGCAAGGCAAGGAACTCTTGCCCATTTTTCATTCTTCTTGTTCCCTGATCTGAAAGAGATAATTGCAATAATACATGACCTCTCCTCTTTTCCACATGTTTGTTATTTATATTTTTATATCTTCTAAATGAAAAGCTTCCCTATTTCACTCAATGGGTTGTATTCAAGTGTAGCCATCAGCTGACAGAACTGTATATTCCCACCACCACCACCATCTCCACCAGCTTATGTCTACAGGGTCTGTGCCATAACAGGCTTACAATTTACAAAATAGTGAAGTCAGTTATTTTTTTTCTGATATAGCTTTTTAAATTTGCAAAAGCATGATATGACAAGATATACCAATTAAAATTACCACTCCTATAATCAGAGTGAGGAGGCAGAGAATGTTGCGGGTCCCATCCTTTAGGGGTGGTGGGACCCAGAAGAAAGACCTTCTCCATTGTGGCCCCTCTCTCTGGAATATCATCCCCCCAGAGATTAGAATGGCCTCCGGCCTGGGGAACCCAGAGCAGGATTAAATGGCTCATGTGAGGTGCTGTTGCCAGAGCAGGGGGTGGGAGGTGATTTTATTATATTTATTATATGACTCTTATTAGTTTTATTGTTTTTAGATGAGATTTTACATTCTGTAAGCTACATTGAGTCACCGTGTGCTAATAGGCGGCAATATAAATTCCCTAAATAAATTGTGTGTGTGTGATGTCTCAAAGCTGAAAAACCCTTTCTCTTTGTTTTAAAGCTAGGGCGTTCTGGCTCTTGTCTATGTGAGAGGTTGCACTAGAGCTCTTGGGGGTTCTGCTCAATCCCAATGTGCAAGGCTCATTCCCAGATGCTCTTTATTTACCGATACTGACTCTGTACCTGTCTCCTTTTACAGGTGGAAGTAAAGCCATACGTGCTTGATGATCAGATGTGTGATGAATGCCAGGGTACTCGCTGTGGCGGAAAATTTGCCCCGTTCTTTTGTGCCAATGTTACCTGCTTGCAGTATTACTGTGAATACTGTTGGGCGAGTATTCATTCTCGGGCTGGACGAGAGTTCCACAAGCCGCTTGTGAAGGAAGGAGGTGACCGGCCACGCCATGTGCCCTTCCGTTGGAGCTGAGGTCCGGGCTGAAGGCCAGCAGTACTGGAGCCAACTGGATTGAAGGGGAAAGGAGTGATGCCTCAGGGCTTTTGTGTTCTGGAAATCTGTGCATTCATCCTTGACTTTAATGAAGAGATGGGTCCTTTTATTATGATGATGGTTATGATTATAATGATGATTATGATTATTTACAGTCACATTACTGAACACTATGTCCAGTATAATACAAGCCTAGCAGAGTGTAACTGTACTGATTTTGCACTTTGATTCACACAAACATCTGCTTGGTACCTTAATTTCTCACCTGAGACTTATCACGGCTAACAATAAGTAGACTGCTATGGTCATCAGCCTCCACTAGGTTGGTGTATATGTGATTAAGGTTTTTTTTTTTTAAATTATGTACTTTTATTTTAAAACTGGAGCATGCACTTATTTTCAGAAACTTTGATTTGCCCCTAGCACATGATTTACCAAAGGTAACACTCACAAGTAGGTGACAGATGTAGCAAAAATTTACAATGGATATTCAGCAATCATTCAGAGTAGGAAAACCCTAAACAATCTTTAGTTGCTCTCTATTTTTACTGAAAAGGATGATACCTCATAAGCCGGATCACATTTTCTCCACCCCCACCCACCTCCCATCCCTTTTCTGTTTTGCTGAGGGTTTCCTATTTGTTTAGGCCTTTTAGTGTTATGTAAATGTATGCTGCAATAGCTTTTGCTGCTATTAAGATGGTATTACTAATACCACATTACTCTATTCAAGCTAGGGTATCATTTAAAAAGATAATTATGTGATTTAAAACAGTGATGGCTGCTGAAAGAAGATCAGTAGAGCATTCAGAAAGCTTCCAAGGAAGGTCAATTGTTTTGACTGCATGTTTAATCAGGTTGACGCATGCAATAATTTTTTTTATAGATGTCTAATACAAAAATCTGCCCACAGTGCACCAATTAAGATTCTATGTAGGCTGCAAAGTACTCAATAAAATAATTTAAAACACACACACGCATATACGCACAGGTTACTGACTGGAGGAAGGCATGTCAAAGTCTATGTAGATGCTTCTGAAGTTAAAATCAGCCCATAGCCGTATCACCTATATCATGACAAGATTTAAAAAAAAAGAATAGATGTAGAAATATCCTTAAGCAGATTTGTGAATGATAGACGAAGTACTTTGCGGTGCTCTGTTCTATATTGTGCAATTTATTTTATATAGTAAAGTGATTATGTCTAGTACTGTGATCAAACTAACTGTTTAAGCCTCTATGTCTACCATTCACACTCTTTTGAAAGTTCAACCACAGACACAAATACATATGCACACTTACAAAATAAAATTTGAGCTCTTAGTTCCTATCTCATAAAAGCTTGCACTATTTATGTAGCTGCAGCCCATGTCCAGGAAACCAAAGAGCTCACAATAGCATATGTAAACTACCAGCTTTGATAGTGGCTGATAAACGGGGCACATTTTTGATTGGGAATAGCGGTGCTAAAGAAATGTCTGCATACAAAAATTAACTAGGGTATGATATTTAATTTCTTAAATCCTGGATGTATCCTGTGAAGCTTGAATATATTTGAAACCTATATCTGAACAGTGGACATTTTTTTAGCATATAATATGGGGCTACAAGGCAAACACATAAACACATATTAGTGTACTATTTATGAAAATGTGACAATGTGTACGTTATTTTTCTGGGTTTTCTGTGGGTTTGTTCTCTCCCCCCCCCACCCCATCCCTAGTTTTGGAGGTCTGGGGACAGTTTGACTGGATATCGCACCGCATAGTAGATGTTGAAATGTCCCCATTTTGAGTGTTGTGCTGGCCTTGTTAATGTTGTAACTTTCTACATTTTCTTTTAGTATTTGGTTGGAATTATTGGCTGGGGGTGGGGCGGGGGGGGGGGGGGGAAAATCTTTCTCTGTTGAAAAAAAAAATAGTTTTTTACTGGTTTAAAAATATTCATTCTTCTTGGTATCGCAATTTCTCCTGGGCATTTTTGTGATATTGCTTTATCTAGCCCAGCAATCTATTTTGTTTTGTTTGGGGTTTTCTTCTTCTTTTCCCTTCTTTTTTTCATCTATACAAGATTTGTTATGCACTACTTTTTGTAACTAGACAGTTTTCAATAGTTGGCAGATTATTCTTTTTTAAAGAAAAAAGGCATGCTTTCTGACTGACATGATCTTTTGCAATACCTCAATTTTGAAATATAGGAAAGAAAATATTTTCTAAGTAAGTTTATTCAGAAAATATATATATTAATTTAATTCTGTGAGGAAATGATTTAACAGATGGGTAACTTTATTTTTTTCATGCTTATTTGCGTTTTTGAAAATGAAGAAGTTAGAGCTTTATAACTGTATTGAAGATCATAGCTATCCTACCGAAGTCTACCTAATTATGTGAAACAATTAAACATTTATGAAGAAATATCTCTTTTCCACATACAAACATAGTTGGAAAGAAAGGCGAAAAGGGGGGAAGAGATGATGGAAGTTATGTAAAATGATTAAAATGAGTACAGCAAGAAAATTTAAAAACAAACTGCTTTGGTGCTGGAAGTTGTGAACAGAAGGTGAAAAACCTGTTTTGCCCTTAATTTGTATATTTATAATCAAGCGATTATGCACGACTGACCAGAATTGTGAGAGTTCTTCTGTTTGTATTTTTTAAAGATAATTTTTAGTTTATTAAATTATAACAAGTCCCCTTTTGTTTTGTAAATGAATGTGCCCCCCCCCAGGTTGTTAATATCTTACCCCATTATTCTAAGAGGGTCCTTCCAGAAAAGAAGTTATTTTTTAAAACAAAATGTTCTGAACTGTAACTGGATGAAGGAGCCCCTGGGTACCACAGGCCCACTTGTGGCCTTCCCTTGATGCGAGACTTGAACTAGTCGATTTTCTTTTTGAAAGCAACTTAACCTCGACTATCTGTTGTTATGTGCAATACTGTTTGTACTGTTTGTATAAAAAAGAAAAAGAAAAGAAAAAAGGCATAAATCTTTATTGCAAATTTATTTTCATTGCAAACTTTAGACATTGTGATTCACTAAGATCATTTTTCTACTGTCAAATATGTACCTTTTCTTCATGCTGGTATTTTTTCAATAGTAATGTAGCCTTTGTACTGAGACAGATTTTCATTGTTATTTTTAGAAAGATTTTTTGCTAAGAGAAATTTAAACATTGACATATTTTTCATTTTTATTTCTGATTTTCTTTAAGGAATGCTTTCTCAACCATTAATATAGTTGTTTCTGGGAGAGACTTTCATATCTGGTCAATGTCATTAATATTATTTTGTATTTTTACTTGGAATAAATTAATTTTATGATGCTAATTCTTTAAAAGTTTATTTTTTTCATTTTCAGTTATTTTTGAAGCTAAAAAACCTTTGTAATATTGTTACTAAAGTGTCTAGTTTTTTGAAATGCAAAGCTTTATGTATTAACTTGCTGATGTGGTTTACAATGGTGTGAAAATGGTTGGATATGTGAAATGATTGAAAAACTGTAATGAATAATTGGGCAATAAAATTACAGAATGAAGCAGGAAAATGATGTGATATTTTTTAGAAGCTTTTTCCTTTATCAGAATGATTTAGGAAGACAATAGGGATGTCACAGTACCAGTTCGCTGTCTAGATTTGTACAACACCAATGTTAATAAAACACTGTTGCTGTTGTAATTCACTCCAATCTGTAGAAATAGCAGGTCTACAATCTTGGCTGTTTAGCATCCTACCAATTTGCTTCCTCACCATTACCATGGGCACATCCAGTACTGTTGCACAGTGGGTGCAAGGGTGAAAAATATAAATGGAACTACGCAGCATTAAGGCTTGGCTAAGTCACTTCCACTTCACCCAACCAACCATCCATCCTCTTTTTTGTTTTTTTTGAACTGTTCCCTTTTAAATCTCTCCCAAGTGGCTTCTGGGTGATCTGCCATGCTTTTATTTATTTATTAAACCTGTCCTTCATGCTGCATTTCCCTGCGCCTCTTTACATGGTAATTCAGAACAAATGGAGGAAATTGTATAGTATCTCCATAATGTTACAGTGTACCATACAGTGTAAGTTTCTCATAGTTAGTGCTATCTAATGCATGTATAGGAACCCTTATTACCTGATCTAAGCACTTTTTTTCAAGCTGCTTGTATATTTCTCCCTTTCTTGTGTTAGGCCTCTTATAGCATAAGAACAGCATCCATTGCTGCTATAAAAAATAACACTGCATCGTTTTTTGTAGTTCATCTCCACCTTTGCCTGTCCTACCATTTACTGCAATACTAGCAAAGCTTCTGTGTGGAAGCTGGATACTGTTATCCCTTCCTTTAGATCAATGTTTCTCAGGCTTGGCAACTTGGTGGACTTTAACTCCCAGAATTCTGGAGCTAGCTTGGCTGGGGAATTCTGGAAGATGAAGTCCCCACATCTTCAAGTTGCCAAATTTGAAAAACCTTGCTTTAGATCCTGCAACTCAAACTGGTGTTACCTAAACAGACAACACAATAGCCTTCTCCAGATACATCAGTCGTCAGATTTCATCTGTTTTTATGAGGATTTAAGCTGAATGGAAGCTATCCCTTGATCTCTTGTGGAAATATCTGGAGTTGGCCTTTGTGAGCTTTTTGTAAGTAATGTACAGGCAATTTCAAATAGTAAAATTTAGACTCTTATCTAGGTTCTATGGTTGGAACATATACAAATTGTAAAAGCATAATACAGTAGAAGTAAAGGGAAAATTTTTCAAATTCCTGCAAGAATGGAATGAGGTGAGTGTGTGCTTACACTCCTGCCTACACACTTGCCTTGTAGGAAGGCAGGGTTAAAAGAAAATTGTATTACAAATATGCAGTTATTACAGATTTCATTATCTTTGTTAGAATAGTACAAAAATACAGTGCTTTACTGGGAGAAAATCTCCTATGTTAATATTTCAGTATTGTGACATCTCTACTTGCAAGATACGAGTGAAAGATTAGTCACAGATTGGTTTTTTTAAACTATTTTTGTTAAACCTGCCTTTTATGTAGTTGCTTTTTACACCAGTTTGTATAATGTCAGCATTCCTTTTTTTTCACTTAAAAAGTTCTCTTAATTTCTACTGTTGTAGTATTTCTGTCTTAACATAGAGTCTGTTCTAATATTATGCTATGATTTACTCCTGAATAGGAGAAAGAGCAAGAGCTGTTATGTTATTCTGCACATTTTATACTTATTTAACATTGTTTAGCAACAAATAGATATTCAGGGTGCTAATACAGGAAAATCATTTCTGCTTTTTTTTTTTGCTGGTTTGTTTCTGGATGTTGTTCTGTTGGGGTATAAAGTATTAGGTATTTGTAATTTGCTGTCTAAAATAATGGAGATGAGTGTTCACAGCTAAGATCTCTGTACTTGTTTTTTTTTCCAACTGACTAATTTTCAGTGTACCATATCTTTTATTACATGTTCTCTTTAGACTGGTTTTGCTAGTAACCCTAAAAGGCTTTTACCTTTTATTTTTTACTTTTTTGGCTTGGACTAATGCTTTGTATGGAACTGCAGTACTGTGACTAAACATGAAGCTCCACGCTGCTATTGCTTACAACTGCTTCAACTTTGTAGTTTGGAATTAATTTTTTTTTCTGTAATAACTTATTAAATCTAGTTGTATGAAGTATGGAAACTTGTCATCCTTTGAATATTTAAAAAAAAAAAAGCAACGGGGAAGATACAATCGAATTTAGAAATTGGACCTTTAAAAAACACACACCTTTGGCTACACGTTACACTTTAACAGAGCACACATTTAAATAGTGTTTTAATTATCCTTTTACGTATGGCCAGAATTCATCCAGAGCATTTGACACCAAAGCGCAGTTGCACAAGTGCAAAAGGCATAGTATCTACTTACTACTGGTAGGATCTTAAGAGATTGTCACCAGTATCTATCAAGCGCAAGATTACAATCATTTTTGTTCTCATTTCTTTGGGTCAGACGAATTGTGTACATTGAGATAAAAAATCAAGTGTGTTTGTTGGAAGAGGAGGAAGATGGCATACTGCAATTTTGCAATTGCTAAGAAACATAATTCTGTCCTTCCTCAGCAATGTGACTTATGTGACTTATGACCGTTGTTCAGAATTGCCACCTTTGTAGCATTCCCAGGATCATGTGATCAAAATTCAGATGCTTGGCAACTGGTTCATATTTATGACAGTCTCACTGTATCCCGGGGTCACCTGATCCCCTTTTGCGACCTTCTGACAAGCAAAATCAATGGAGAAGCCTGATGCCCTTAACAGCCGGGTAACTAACTTGTCAAAACTGCAGTGATTCACTTCACAGCTGTGGCAAGGAAAGTTGTAAAATGGGGCAAAACTCCTTTAACAAATGTCTCACTCAACAAAAATTTTGGGCTGAATTGTGGCTGTAAGTCGAGGACTACCTGCACTTTTGCCCTTTTCAGTCTTTTCAACACAGCCTGCAATTCTCAGACAAGACACTTTCGCCTGAGGTTTTGCAGTTCCAGCCCAGATTCTGATCCAACAGACTGCAAATCAAATCCAACTGTTATTCACTCTTGACTAATATCCTGGAATTGCTTCAAAACCGTTGCTGATCTGTCAAATTTTTAATTAAAATTTTCAAATTAAGTTTATGAGACAGCATTTTTTCAAAGACTTTGCAGAGAGCTTTATCTCATTTTTTGTAGATGTTGTAAAGACAAACAGTTCTTTTTTTAAAAAAAGACATACATACATAACAAAACGTCCACAGAGAAAACTTGATATAAGATTTCCCAGAATATAAAGTAATAAAAAGGAATTTTCCCATCAAAAGTTAAAAAAAAAATAAGGCTTTGAAAAAATAATAAAAACAAAAGTCTTATAGTAAAATCCAATATAGGTGTAAATCAAATTGAATAGCTTTCACTACCAGAGAGTGAGTTTTCTCACCACTGGCTTCCTTGCTGTGAAAGAGTGAAAATGGTTTAGAGTTCCAAAGTAAACAGTAAGAAAGCGGAAAAACTTTATAAAAATCCAGTAAGGGATTTATAGGATAGAGCAGCCTACAATCAGTCAGTTCAAATGTAGATCAAAAAGTAAGAAAAGCTTTAAAGCATGGGCGTCAAACTTGATTTTATTGAGGGCTGCATCAGGGTTGTGTTTGACCTTGGGGGGCCTGGGTGGGTGTGGCCAGCTTGATGTCACTTGTGTCGTGGGCGCTCCGTTTCCAGCTGCGACAGCCTCCTGCAACCCTCTGCTTCGGTTTCACTGGGAGAGGCACCGCAGGACGGTCCTTCGTTGATTCCAGGCAGCCCTCCCCTCCCCCCCCGCCTTGAGTTTGACACCCCTGTTTTAAAGAGTACAATTAAAACAGGGTCATGCTTGAAAAAACAAACAGTTGAAGGGAAGAGATGATAAAAGATTCACTGGCTCCTACTGAGAATTATGGTCATCATCTTTGTGAGTTGTCAACTATTCCATTCATTCATCCAGTGAAGAAAGACTCCTGGGCCATTGTTTTGCCAAGAATATACTTTACTGGAGCTTAAATGGTTACAAAAAAGTAGTGAAGCTGGGTCTGGCATTTTTGGGCACAAACAAAGCCATTAACCTTCCATTTTCCCTGGCCATCCCCAGGGGTGGGATTCAGCCAGCTCAGACAAGGGATGTTAAATTTACATCTGGTTCACCAAACTGGTAGTTGAACTGACCGGCTGGCCCCGCCCTCCCCTCCCAGGAGTCTCCATGTGGCCCATTTTGGATGCAGGTAAGTGCAGGGTCCATGTGGAGGCTCTGGGAGGGTAAAAACCGGCCCTTTTGGAAGTTCAAAAAGTCCAGAAACGGGCCTGTTTCTGGCTTCCGGAGCCCAGGGGAGATCATTTTTGCCCTCCCAGAGTCTCGAGGGAAGCCTCCGGACTCTGGGGAAGGCAAAAAAATGGCTCTCCTGGAAGTTCTGGTAGGCCACGCCCACTATGGCCACACCCACCCAGCAACCGGGCAGAGAACCAGTTGTTGGGATTTTTGAATCCCACCCCTGGCCATCCCCCGTATTTTCAACAGTCCAATTATGTGCTGGTATATTATTTGAGTAGCGAGACTTCGGTTTCACGGCCTTTTCTGCTTTTCTGCTTTGCACTTGGATGGGTAACCTTGGCTAGCAGATGTTCCTCATTCCTCAGCCGGTGTGCTTTGCTTTCCGTTCCCCAGCTCCCCAGCTCCTGCCTGCATTCCAATCCTCTTCACCCCCCGCCCCCGATTGCTAATGTCAGGCTGTTGGCTTTGCGAAGACTGGCTTGGGGAATGGCAGCCGTGACACCTCTGAAGGTACACTATTGTCCAAGGGTTGTTCTGGGTCATTCCTAGTGCTCCCATTCGAATCCAGGGAGCATAAGCCATCAAATAACCATCTTTAGTGGCTTAATCAGCTACTTAGCGGCAGGAGAAATAAAATCACCTGCTGCTCAGCACACTATTTGGGAAGGGGGGGGGGAATAATTCAGCTATTTATTATGAAAATACAGATAGTCCTCAACTAATATCCCCTTGTGACTCACTTAACAACCAACTTGCTTAGGGAAGTGAAATTCTGGTCTCAACTGTGATCATAAGTTGAGGACTGCCTGTTCTGTTTCACATAATATATTTAAAAAGGCACAGTTTTTATTCACTCAAAGTAGTTAAATACAGCTCCGTGGACTGGTAGGAAAATACAATACATTAGATCTTAAATTTCTGCAGCATTCTTAACCAATAAATCATTTAAACATTGTCAGAATACTGTTCTGGTAAAATGGAAGCCATCCCCTAAGATGCTTTAAAATAGATTGACTTTAATGGGGAGCAATCTGGTAGGCAAACTAAAAGGGAACATGGAATTTGCATTTGATAGTTATTTATATTTATATACACACAGAGAACATCACTTAGAGGGTAAGGGAATATACTGTATATATATATATCCTGCAACTGCACACACACCTACACAGAGTGAATTGCAGTTACTTAAAGCAGTGTTTGTCAAGCTTGGAAGCATGAAGATGTTGAAGACTTCAGTTCCCAGAATTCTCCATTCACCAAGCCAGAATTCTGGGAGTTGAAGTCTTCAACATCTTCATGCTTCCAAGCTTGACACACACTGCTTTAGAGATAACTAGCTGAATAGGCTAAAGATAAAGGGGTGTACTCAAGGATAGATATTATTGAGCTCAATTACG